GGGTTCATATGAGATTCCTGGGTAAGATCACTTTGGTTTCACAATGTTTGCACAAAAAAATAAAAGCAATAATTAAAGTAATGTCAGTGGTTCTCATTTCTGGTCCTCAGTGCTTGCATTCCTTTTTCTTTTGTCATGCATCTCTTCTCCAGACCTCCTGATTCATATGATTGAATTGGTTCCTCAGCATGCTACACATAAAACACACAGGTCAGGTGGTCCTGTGGTACAGGACTGAAAACCATTTATCTAACTGTATCTTCAAAACTGAAAACCAACAATTATTCCAACTTCACCTTAAAAGAAAAAAGAAAAGAAACACTAATGTTTCCCACGGTGACAATAATGTTACAAATGTTGTTCCCATGTTTGGGTATAGACAGACAAGCTGCCGATAGCTCTGCTATCTGTAAGTTTAAAATTATGAAACTTAATAAAGAGCAATGCATCATTAGTTACCACACATGACTGTTTGTGTTTTTAGCAGCTGGAACTATTTCCAAACAGCCTTTCTTCAGCCAGCTGACAAACAGTGCACAGAAACTGCAGCGCCTTACACACCCTAAGGTTTGAGGAAAGACCAGTCGCTAACTGTGTTTCCATCAATATTTCTTATGTGCATTTTGAAGTATCACATTAGAAAAGGTTGATAGAAAAACTTCAACATGACTTCCTCAATTTTACAGAAGACTTTTCACGCTCCCTTGAGGCTGGCTGAGATTTTAATGTTACATTCAAGAAAGCGTCAAAGATCAAATTTATGCTTCAAAAACACTTTTATTCTGCATTTTTCACAGACTTTGCCACAAATTCAACAAACTGGTATTTCATTTTCTGTCTTGTTTTCATCTTTTCAGACCTTGGGACAGTTCTTTCACTATGCATTTCCCAGTTGATAGTGACATAATGTGATGCTTATGTAGCTTAGCATACCCTCAGACATCAGTCCAAAGGTTGTTATGGCAATGCTTTCTGCCTCTTTTTGGAGTACTTGCACATTTTTTCTGTCCTGTTTTTCACTCTGTTACACTGATAGTTCCATCTGTGAACTCAAAAACTTGCCAAACATTTAAGTGTATGTAGTAGGGCCATCTTCTCTTAGCAACTCTTCAGGCAAAGGCATTGTGACCGCGAGTGTTCACGAGATCCTTGTACCTCAACGAGAAATATTGTGATAGTTTAATATTGTGAGATTCTGAATGTGTTTTGTTATAGACCTACTACAAACACATAAATCTTGTTGCCTCTTTGTCCAACAGCACAGAACATTCATACACAAATCCCTCCCATCTGTATAGGAGTATGCAACAACAACAACAAAAAAGTACAAAAGCCCTGCATGCGTAACTTGTGCAGGAATGGCCCATATTCTATGGCAGTTCTCTTGCTCTCAGCTTGCCGCTGTCTGGAGAAAATAACAAATAGTCCGAGCTTCTTCAGTGAGCAACATCCATTCTGGTATGAACCCAGTGTCCCTTGCTCCCTCACCATGCCTTCCCCTGCACACCGCAGCCCCATCCCTTCCATTCCCTCCATAAGGTGAAGAAGTACAAAGAAAGGGATCAGAGCTTTTCCGATTCTTCCCTGGTTATTAACCACCATTTGCTCCCTGGAAGAGCAATCCCTCCCATTAACCCAACTGATGGTCTTTTCTCATGGAAATCAGCCTGCTGTTGCAGCCGCCGCCACCGTTGCTGCTGCTGCCACCGCTGCAGCCTGCAGAGGTGCAAGGAATTGTGGGGGGATTTGACGAGGAGAAGACCTCCCCCAGACTCTGAAACTGCTCTCTTAGTCTCTCTCTCTCTCATACGCATACATACCGGGACATACTGGGAAAAGAAAAATGCACATATCTCCCTAACAGGACTACGTGGTGTGTGTGAGCATACTAACGTGAAACGTGCTGACTCCCAACCACAGGGGCACGGAAGTAATGTAAAACAAGCCATAGAAGTTGACGAGAAGAAGCCGACTCCACGCAGGCAGAAATACAAGAGTCGGGAGAGCAGAAAAACACTGAATATCATCCAGCATTCTATAACGACACGGAAAACATCGAAAGAGATGAAAACTTGCTTTGTCCTTTTAATCCTCAGAGCAAACTGATCCACTAGACATGCTGGAGATTAGGACTTCTAAGGGGACGGTCGAGATAGCTTTCACTTATTAAATTCACAAAGTCACACTTAAACTTTTAAACACGCACACAAAACCACATCCATTTGTCAGCGCGTCAGAAACCACCACAACAACAACAAGTGCTACCTCACACAAAACGCTCTAAGAAAAGAAGCCTCCAAAATCGCTGCGGGGCAGATCCATCACCAACTGGTGGGTGTTTGTGGTGAGAGAGGGACAAACGTCAACACATGGGTCTCAACTTGCACCGAAAGCCATTGTCTCTCATGACAAACTCACTTCCATTTCCTTATTATGTAGCCAGAGGCTTTGATGGTATACTGGAAGCTGCAAGGGGGAAGAGAGGATGACTTTGACTTTAAATTATATTCCTATCTGAAAATTACCTTAAATGGTGGCACTAAATGTTTCTCATATGGGAGACTCCATGCTGCTGATTTTAGAAAGAAAATGCAAAAAACACTGCATCCACCTGGCACATTGTCACTCAATCATCTGCCAAAGTAATTCAATACAGTTTGACAGCATAAGTTGATGGGTTCCCAACCTCCAGTTTTTACAAAGGATGCATTTCCAATACTGATATAAATATCAGAGGTTTAGTATCGGCAGAGACCGATCCAATACAGAAAAACAGTGCTGGATTGACCTTAAACGTTTTTTGTTTTTTTTAAAACAGTCATAAATGTTACTCCATTACAAATTTCTTTCATAGCGCTGCACCAGTGCAGCACACTTGCATACACCAATAGAAACACAAGCTTGGTCAAACATGCAAAAACAACACAACTTTAATTTGTTCAGTCAGCGCAATTAGGAGTAGAAAAACCAATGTTTTTCTACTCCTATGGTTTTTGAAAAGGACAAAAATCATAGGTTGACTATTTTGGTCAAACATGTAAAAAAATAACAGAAACAAGAAATAAAATTAATTCTCTGAAGTTTCTGTAAACAAAGCTGTCCTTCAAATAAAGGTCAAAAGACTGAAGACATTTACGTGAACAAAGAAAAACAATAAATCATACAAATGGAAATGATTGAACTCTTTTTAATTTATCGTGAGATTAATTTAATTATTGCTTATTGCAACAGGCCTGTACATTTGTATGTTTTTTTTTTTCTATTTTATTCAACTAAAAAAAAGGAAAATCAAACACTTTTGATTAATGAGTTTATAGCTAAATATGATAGAAGTTCTTTGTTTTGATATAATTAATGAATTGGGGAAAATGAAGAAAATAAAAGTCTGGTCACTTGTGTCTGGCTGAACCATCACTAAATGAAAATATGTCTGATTCTGATTTCTGGCCGAGCCATTGGCAGAATCTCTAAATACTGAGGTGTGAAAAACTTTAACACAGTTACAGCGTCTTTCCATAAAATGTTCATTGTTGCACTTCATTTCTTTATTTAAAAAATGTAATAAATGCGTGAATCGCAGTCATTTAAATAACTTTTAAATTAATATTTTTGTTTTAAAAAATCTGTGCATTTTTTTCCATAAAAAATAATGTACATACCATGTACACATTTTAACTATTTGTTTCAAACTATTGTGCTTCAGAAAAGAAAATACTTTCCAACAAGGCAATAACTACCCAAATCTTAATTCATGATCGACTTAATAGATTTAGTTTGTGTTATGCAACGCAAATATTAAGCATGACATTTCAAGTAGAATCAAAGCATCACTTTAAAAGTTGATCTAAAGTTTTTGTAGATAGTTATTTTTTTATGTATTTATTTTTAAATTATGCCTAATAAAATGACAAAAATTTAAAAAGCAACAGAGCATTAAAACAACCCACGTCTGGGTATGTGAGGGGGCAGGTCTGTTCTCCTGCACAATCCCAGGATGTGTGAATGCAGCTGATGTCATGAAAACACCTTAAATAACCCAAAGTTCAGAGCGAGTTCATGCTGTTTGCAGTAATCGGTGATCTTCTGATGAACTACAGAAAAATCCTAGCAGCAAAACCAGGGGGTGAGGATGGGGGGGCAGAGAGGAAGAGCGCAGCGCAGAACAGCAGCTTCTTTAAACTTCAACTCTTTCTGCTCGTTTTCACACTCAAGTGACAACAAACCCTGCGGCAAAAGCAGCTATCAGTAACAAGTGCACAAGCTGAGTCCACACATTATGAACCCAACAACCCCTTCCTCCTCCCACCCCCTCTGTTTTTTTTTTTTTTTTTTTTTTTTTTTTTTTTTTTTTAGAAGGCTCCTGCTTGTTGTTTACTCTCTTGCAAGATTCTCTTCGAAACATCCGATCGGGGAGGCACGAGCCACAAGCGTTACGGACGTAACAACATGATTATTAAATGTGGAAAAATAACAACGAGTGCATGTTGCGGGCCGCTGCAGTCAGAGCGCAACTTTCAGCCAAGTTTTCTCTTCTGGACTAAAGCAACACAAACAACAGGACGTTCAGTTCTCCCCCTCCTCCTCCTGTCCTCTGCAGCGCCAGGCATGCCACACTTCAGAATGATTCCCAAATTGGTTCCGACTCACCGCAAAAAATAAATAAATAAACAATAATAATAATTCTCAACTAAACGTGCAACTGCACCGTGGTTTAGCAGAGCGCAAGCAGCGTTAGAGTTAATCAAACTCAGCAGACTGATTTTAGGCTGCCAAGGGGGGGGAACTGCGAAACGAGTGTTTTGGGAATCGGATCATGCGGGCCGTCCGCAAGGGTCCTGCTGCACGTCAGTCTGCGCAAGTTCACCTCCAGCCCGGAAAGTTGCCTCAAAGCCCGCACGTGCACGCATGAAGACGGTCTGCTATTTTACAGAAGAAGGAGAGAGAGAAAGAGAGAGAGAGAGACAGACAGAGAGAAAGAGAGAGAGAGCAAGTTTACTCACCGAAAACTTTCCAGCACCGCATTAGTCAAATTCACATGGAGTCCCGGTGAGCTTCAGCTTCCATTTCTGCCCCCCTCCCACCCACTGTCCACCTCCGGTCCGGAGTACAGTCCAGCCGCAGCGGTTCCTACGTCCCGCCGCTCCCACGCTTCCCGTTTTCCCCCGTTTGATCCGCGAGTCGGAGACTTTGATTATCCGCCACTGGGTCGGCTCTGTATCCGAGGCCCGACAGTACGCCTGGCCCTCCCTCTCAGGCTGCTGCGGAGTTATGGGGCGGTAAGCATTGTGAGAGTGTGACGTCAGGCCACTTTCACAAACTTTTTTTTTTTTTTTTTTTGGAACCAGTCACAGCAGCATGTACGTACTGGTGTTTTCAGCTGCCAGTCCTCCCCGCTGCAATTTGTGACCCAGTTTAAACACCTGCAGCTGAGCTCCTTCCACCTTCTCCTTTTAACCAACTATACTTTTGTTTCTTGAGGGTTTTTGTCTAATATTGAAAGTTTTTGGTATTGTTTTTGACAGTTGCTTCCAGGAGAAGACATCTCACATTCTAAGTTGGAATAAAACGTGTATAATGTCGAAACATTGAAAGTCACCAATCCCAACGCGAAACATTCAAAATGGCTGCCGCTCACTGATCACAGTTTTTGCTGCAGTAATAAATAGCTTATTTGCGATGTTGTTCGGAGAAAGAATCATCTCCATAGTCACAAATTTAGCAATTCGCCACAATGTGTTGCTAATGAACACATTCCTGTAGAGTTTGAACATATAAAATGTGGAGAAATATGTGCTTATGAGGTAGTTTTGCTAATAGCATTTAGCCTAGTCACTTAGCCAATTCCTGCTTTACAGATTTACTTCTTTTTTGTATCCACAAAATAATACATTAAAATTCATGTATTTTAAAAAAGTTTGATTTCCTTTTTAGATTTAAAAATATAAAGTGAAACTACTAGCAAAGACAAACAAAACACTGGCCCTTATTTTGACTTGCGTTAACAAAGTCCAGGTTCACCCTGTGACCTCACTGCTCATGCATGGTTGGGTTGAACATTTCACATTTTCAAAACCTGTTTGTTTTGTACATTTGTGTTCAATAAAGAATGACTTAACAAAACATTTGAAAATGAAAATAAATGTAACACTGAAAACAAATTTGGGGCATTGCAGAAGGCCACAAAAAATATTTCAATAAATATTTTATGTTTCAAAATATTTTATTTTTGTTATTATTATTAATACTCATTTCTCATTAGAAAATAATAATAAAACTTTTTTTACACAAACCCAAAAGTAAGCAACTTCCAAAATATTTCAAAAGGTATTTAGGTTTTTGGGGCCTTATGATGAACGTGTGTTTTTTGTTTATTTTTTTGTGTGGCAGAGGGCTCTGATAATTTATTATTCTCAGATATAATACCTAATTAATGTCTTTTTAAAGACTGTTCTAACAAATCTGTTAAAACATGTTAAAACATAATTAGTTAGTTTAGTTTTTTTATGTTTTTTTTATCCATCACTTGTGTGATGAATAAAAAAAAAATTTTGAATACACACAGGCATTCATAAAATGTAAGTGAATACAATTGAAAGTTTTACTTACTTTTCTTTCTTATTTTCTGGCACTCTGCTACTAGATTATATAAGAAGTGTAGTTTACAAGAAGGTAAGTTTAATTTAATTATTTTATTCAAGCAATTTTACTCTACAAATTTCTGATGTTTAAAAATGAGCTTAAAGGCATTATGTAAATATCATTTATGACTCAGTGATATTGCTTTTTGTTATATTTAATTATAATATCAACAATATATTGCTATTTATTGTTGTTATTATTATTATATAAACAACATGGTGCTTGCGACCCCTGTGTTCCAGTAGAGGTGGTTTCTCCCGCTTCATATATGGGCTGTATGAATTTCGGGTTTTTTGGGGGGGGGGGTTAGAGGAGGGAACGTGAGGGCGGGGAGGAGAGGGGTGAGAGGATTACTTCCAGGGCACATCAGCTCGTTTCCTCACCGACAGCGACCCCGACACCTCCTCTCGGCCCCACGCCCCTCTGCCCCCCTCCCCGGAGCCCGCATGGTGAATATGTTTATGCAGAGACAGAACAGGAAGGTGGGAACAGCGGGGAGCTTCAGTCAGGCTGCATTCAAGTTCTGCTCATATTTAAAATAACGATTATAATAAATCCCGAGTTATTTTTATTTTTATACTGTCTTTGTAAATAAATGCATTGTTTAGAATTTATAAACAAAAAAAATATTTACATTCTTAAGTAAAAATGGTTTGAATCTTCTGGTTTTATGTTTCTTTTGTCCTTAAACAAACTTGACTTTAAATGTTCAATTTCTCAGGTGGTCCTCCTTTGAAAAATACGCCTTCGAATGACGCAAGTATTCACTCACTGTTTTGCGTCACACATGTTTCCTGAAAGTCGCACAAAAGCGTAACATACGGGTTTCCGACCGCACACAAACGCAACAGCTCAGGGGTCGTCTGGCTGCTGCTCGGTGTGGACTGGAGAGAGCAGCGGTCCACCTGGGAGGACACGGACAGGGCCCAGGCTCTGCCTTTTGTTTGTAACTCCGAAACCAACCGGAGGGAAAATATTCAGCATTTCTAGACCAAAAACGTCCAGGTTGTTTGGATGTTTTTTGATTTTTTTCTCTCGTCAATCTTGAGGTGGTCGGGCTTCTGTTTTGGTCCCATGAAGCGGCTGTCTTATTTATGGACACAGACATGCAGAAAAGCCACTTTGAGACACCACTGAGGGGCAAATTGCTTTGGCTTTTAAATGGTCACACGTCAGGTGACGGTTTTGTTTCACGGCAGGCCAAGAAATGATTGTTTAACATTTGAAAGAAAGTGGGAAAAGTTTGGTTTTAAGTTGTTTTCCTACGGGAAAAAAAAAAAAAAAAGCAAAAAACAACCACAAAAAAAAAAAAAAAACCGTGTCATTAAAATGAGGAAAAATAAATACAAATAAATAAACACCACCATTTTGGGCAATAAATTGTTTTAGAATGACCTAAACAAATAGTAAAAATCTATTTAGATGCTGCATAAAATCTGAAAAGGTTTTGACATTTAAAAACATAAAAAATGTCAATCAGTGATGAAACCAAATAAACACCTTTAAGCAGCCTGTAGGCTGGGCTCTTTGGAAACAAGACAGAGATGTACTATATTCATTGAATCGTATTTTAATTTTAATTTCAGGCTTCATACACACTTCAACATTATTTGTTTGCCTTTAGAAAACTGTTGATTAAAAATCTGCCCCATAGAAAAGAAAGGAAGGAAGTAAGAGAGAGAAAAGAAATAAAGAAAGAAAGCAACAAAGAGAGATAGAAATCTTTCCTTAATTGCAATAGTTTTTAAAATTTGGAAATAAGTTAACTTGGCCCCTGATTTGTTACTTTAACACATTTTCTGTTTATGCTATTTTCATTTGTTAATTTTCTTTCAGTTATTTGGACAAACGAAAATAGAAAAATGACAAACCAGTGATCAAGCATAAACAAAATGTGATAAAATGGTCGAAGCTGATTGTACTCACCTTTTGCTCTGTTTGTTCCACATCATCTCTGCATATGAAGAGGTCAGGCTGAAGGTCTATTTCATAAAGTGCCTCAGATAATCACACACAAAAAAAGAAGAACAAAACAGCTAAAATTTAGATCTTGGTGTAGTAAACCTTTGCTCAATATTATTTTAAAGATAATTTAGCCTCAAGATAAATAATCTATCAAAATTGATGACATCAAATGTTTGAAGTCAAAACCAAACATTTAACTTGAGGTCTGCTCAATAATTTAAACATTGATAAATCAAGTTAGTTTTTCTTCAAGATGAAGAACAACTAAGTAAGTTATTATCTAATTAACATGTCTTCATCTATCCTGAAAATACTCTGCATATATATATATATCAACTTATGAAGAGATATTTTCTGCATCACAGTAATGTTTTTTTTTTCTTCTAGTCTAGACATAATTATTTCAGTCTCAAATCTTTGCTCAGTTATTCAGCTTAATTTTGACAATAAAAAGTTGATCAATGTACTAGAAAACAGACAGAAGGACTTTGATGTTTAATGCCATTTTTATATAACCTTTATTATTAAATTATTATATTTATTATAATAAAGCAATTTGACACACTGAAAACTGAGATTCCATTTTTGTCTTGAAAGAAACTCTCAAGCTGTTTCATCCATTTTATTATTATTATTATTATTATTATTATTATTATTATTATTATTATTATTATTATTATTATTTCTTCAGTTGTGTTATTTCTATCTCAATAAGCTAACAGGGTTAAAAACAAGCGGTTTAACCAGAAAGTCTGTGTTGTTTTCAGTGCAGAAATCTGGAACACAATTGCTGTAAATCCTGACTGGTTCTGTGTGATAATAATCATAAGTTTGATTACTGAGGGAATTTTTTTTTTTTTTAAATGTAGCAACTAATTGATTTTTTAAAAGTGATTTCCTCATCTGTTGCATTGAGTCCTAATTGGGTGACAGCTGCTCAAGTTTGTTAGATAAAATAATAATAATAATAATAATAATAATAATAATAATAATAATAATAATAATAATAATAATAAAAATTTCAGAAGGGCACGTTTTTTGTCTGGAGGAAAAGGGGGAAGGTGCTCTAGCACCCCCTAGTGTCTGTCTGTATCTGACCTTGCTGCCAGAAGTTACTCTGGGTTCAGCCATCACCTAACTGGTTGTTGTCCAACAGTCTGAATGAACAGAGAGGTGAAAACGTCATGATGATGGCCACACCAGAGTCCACAACTGCATCATCTGGCAGCAAACTCTGGGGGCTCACCTGAAGGGGGCGCTATCAACACTGGAACTGAATTCAAAGGTGCTTCTGCAATGAAATGAAGCCCAGAAGAAATCCCGAAAAAGAAAGAAAGGAAGGAAGGAAAAAGAGAAAGAAGTGTGTGAGAGGAAGGTAATTAGAAGGAAGGGAAGAAAGAAGGTTGGGTTGTGTGTTCAACTGATGTTTCTTTACCTGCAGAAGTCTCACTAGTCTCTCTAGCCGTCTTTAGTCTTGCTCTCCTTGCTGCTCCAGTGATGCCACAGCCCTAAACAGAAGATGAACATAAACGAAGAGAGTAATTGATGGTTCAAAGATGGATGGCGTGAAACCATTTCCCAGCACTGAGACGGAGACCTCTTTCATGAGCCCATTGTTTATGTGGATGGCGGCGCGGC